AAAGGTGCATGTGAGGGGCAGAAGAAAAAGGAAGATGCACGAGAGAGGGGGAAGAGAAAGGAAGGCTCAAGTATAAGCCAAGGGGAGCTTTTAAGCCCTAAAAAAGGGATGAAAAACTCGGCTTATACTCGAGTATATATGGTAATCCATGCATTTCCATTAGTTATGGGAGAGGTGAGTATTTTCATGTTCCTCTTCTATTAGTTTATATAAGTAGCAGAAAAATTGTATATTAAGTCTCCTCAAATGCAAAGAAGTTGGAACAGCTTAAGTCTCTTCAATGGATTCTGGTCCTAACTGCAGATATTCAAGACAGTAAGTCTCTGGGCTACATTTATCTCTTAAAATGGTACACTGGATTTTCTTAAACAATTCTTAATATAACTCTAACATATGTTAACTCTGAATAAATTTTAAAAACAAATCTCCAGTGTTAACACATTAGCCCCTAATACAGGGCTTCCCCAGAAGATTATGAATTCCATTACTCCATGCATCTGTTCAACTATTACATGTGTTAAGTATCTCATTTGGTCCACACAGCCGCTAAAATGTTAATTACAGCACTCAAATGCGAGCGTATGCATTAGTAAATAACTGTGCTTGGAAGATGGTTTTTATTTGTTATAATTGAATACTGTGGTTGCTGTCAGGGAGCTGTAGCCTTGCACTCTTGATGTCAAAAGCGTTCAATAAATATTACAAACTATCTTTCTGGTTTTGTCCTTGTTGTTGTTGTTAGATGTTCTTGTGCCCTGCAGAGATTAAAATGTCATGCTCTGCTGCCCTTGGAAAATACTGGAAACATCCCCCCCCCCCCGCCAAATAATGGATGACGCCTTTCTGTCAAACTTATATGTGATTCAAGTCCAAACAACCTGGCATTTTGGGTAATGGATGCTATAATTAAAATGTGAGTCTAAAGAACCTGTTGTTTTAGTGGGTGTTTTTAGTAATGGCTTTGTTCTACATGAAGATAAAAACTCCCTAACAAAGGAATTAATGTATTGCTTTAATAGGCTGCACCCTGAGTTAAGTTTTAAAATTTATGAGTTCTCTGCAGCATTGTTCTTTAAACAATGGTATTGTCAAATGCAACCAGTGAGAAGATTAAAGTTCTCCCAGCAGATTAAGTACAAATTATCTGTCCTCCTGTTTCAGCATCATTTGTTCATTTATCACATAACGTCTAGTATTTCTGGTCAGTGTCAATATGCTCTGCATCCTTGCAGTTAACAGATGTCTTCTCTTGTCGAATGAATTACTTTATGTTTCACGCACTGGTGGCCGCAGATGTGTCACTATAGCAACATCATTAATTTCAGATCTTACCGGAAACATGCACTCCAATCAAACCTAATTATACCACATTGCTTTCTTGTCCCACAATAAGGAAACTATAATGCAATTATTGGGATACTTCATTTTCTATTCTGCTGTGGCAAATGAGAGAGCCACTGTGATGGACGCTTCTTGTCAAAAAGCTTATTGATGAAGCACAAACCCAATTTACAATCATACAAAGGACTACCTTGCAATTATGTTAGTAATGTAATGCTCCTTAGATTCAACAAATAATACTTAATCATTTCAAGAGAAAGTACAGCCAGGGCATAAGATTTTTGCAAGGCATTTCTTTATTCTCTTTTCATTTTCGATGTGGAGAAGCCTCTATTGGCATGTGGCTAAGTGGGACAATCCCATTAACTTGGGTGATCTAAAGAAATCACACCAATTTATTTTAAGTCAGAAATCCAGACATCAGTAGTGAAGTGGGACACCATTTATGCAGAGGTCAAAAATCTTTTAAACTACTTTGCAAATACCAGTGTCATAATACAGTTTACAATAAGGTCAGGGAACTCTTTTGATCCCAATGGCCACATTTCCCTTGACACCATCTGGTTGTTCCCTTCCCCAATAGCCATTTAAACATTTTCTATGCTTTCTTCTCTGCTTGAAGAAAAGAACTTGGCCAAACTGGAGCAACAAAACACTGTCCAAGTCTCAGCTGCCATGATATGTGATAGGAACCACATTGCTATCTCTGAACAAAAAGAAGAGCAGGTTCTTCTATGTGTCATATATCTCCCACTTCATGAATGATGCACAAGGCAGACTTCCCACTCCAAAGGGCTAGGTTCTGGGGAGGTTAGAATAGACTTGGGAACTGTAAAGTCTACTTTCCTGGTTTCCAACTTCTGGATAAGACTTATAGCATAGTTATTCTAAGTAATTTCTTTTCCTTCACTCCATTTTTAATCACATATATTAAATATACAAGAGCAGTACACAAGTGTACTTGGAAATCTTGTTTTATATACTGGGCAAATCATCAGTGTGCTTAGCCTCCTGTTTATAAATGGAAACAGTATGATTAGCCTTCACATTTGCGGTTTTGACTTTTGCAGATTTGAGTGCAGGCGGTCCCCGAATTACAAACATCTGACTTACAAACAACTCATAGTTAAGAACCGCGGTGAGACAACAGGAAGTGTGAGAAATTTACTCCTAGGAAGGGAAATTCACTCCTGAAAGCATTATCATGGGGAAAAGAGTGTCCACTGAAACTTTATATCGAATCCTTTCTATAAAAAGCCAAAGTTTTCAAAATCCAATTATCACAGGGACAGAAAGTGAGGTGAAATCTACTGAAAAGGGGTACAGACAGCAAAGCAAACACCACAGGGGTCTTAGATAAAAGGTAAAGTTTTTCCCCTGATGTTAAGTTTAGTCATGTCCGACTCTGGGGGTTGGTGCTCATCTCCATTTCTAAGCCGAAGAGCCGGCGTTGTCCATAGACACCTCCAAGGTCATTTGGCCGGCAAGACTGCATGGAGTGCTGTACCTTCCTGCCAGAGTGGTACCTATTGATCTACTCACATTTTGCATGTTTTCAAACTGCTAGGTTGGCAGAAACTGGGGCTAACAGCGGGAACTCATGCCGCTCCCCCAGTGGCACAGTGAGTTAAACCATTGAGCTGCTGAACTTGCTTACCGAAAGGTTGCAGGTTGGAATCCAGGGAGTGGCGTGAGCTCCCACTGTTGGCCACAGCTTCCCAAATACATCTGACTGGAGTTACACTTTAAAAAAAAACATATCTTTCCGACTTACATACACATTCAGCTTAAGAACAAACCTATAGAACCAATCTTGTTTGTAACTTGGGGACTGTTTGGAATCATGGATTTGATTAAAATATTTTCTCTAGGAATCTCTAAGGTCTCCAGTGCAATTCTGTGATTGGCTTCCAACAGAAGTTGAAGTCAAAGGCATGCTAGAGGATTTAGAAATTATGAGTGAGATATTCCCTAAGGTAGAGGAAAGTATTTTTTTTCCAGAGTCCTGCCAGAAGAGATAGGTCTTCACTTGTATCTTTAATTCCAACAGCCAATCCAGCTGTTGGAACTCTACTGGCAGATCATTCCACAGTAGTGGAGTGGCCAATGAAAAGGTCCTCTGGGTTGCCAGTTGGGTTTTGGCTAGTTGGAGTAACTGCCCCCCAAAGGACCTAAGTGTGCCGGGTGGATTATATGCGAGAAGGCGATCCTTTAGGTAACCTGGAGTCAAACAATGTAGGGCTTAAAAGGTTAAACCCAACACCTTGTACTTTGCGCGGAAACTAATTGGCAACCAGTGGAGTGGTTTTAGGATAGGTGTAATATGATCACTCCTAGATGTTCCTATAACCAATCTGGCTGCCGTATTTTGAACCAGCTGGAGTTTCCAAACTTGGTACAAAGATAGCCTGATGTAGAGCGCATTGCAAAAGTCCAACTTTGAGGTGACCAGTGCGTGCACTACCATCTTCAAGTTCTCCAAATCTAGGAAGGGGTGCAGTTGACGGTTCAGCTGAAGCTGATAGTAAGCACTCCTGACTGTCACCTGGGCTAACATTTGGAGACGGATTCAGGAGCCCTCCCAAGTTGCGAACCCAGTCCTTCGGGGGAAGTGTAATCCCATCCAGAACTGGTTGACACACCTCCATCCCCAGATTAGGACCTTTAATGGCAAGCACTTCTGTTTTGTCTGGATTCAGTTTCAATTTGTTTTTCCTTACCCAGCCCATTACCTCCTCCAGGCATTCATTCAGAGGAGACACACTGTCCTAACTGTTTCATGTATATATTAAAATTCATTGAGAATAGAATGGCAACTTGTGGAATAACACACAACAGCTCATTTTTGAAGAGCAGCTATCACCAAGCACCACCATCTGGAATCTGTCTGAGAGGTACAACCGGAACCACTGCAGCACAGTGTCTTCAAAACTCAGCCCCCCTGCCCCAGGCATTTAAGAAGGATACCATGGTCAATGGTATCAAAAGCCGCTGAGAGGTCTAGAAGTATCAACAGGGACACACACTCTCCCTGTCAATGTTGAGACAGCGATCATCCACTAAGGCAACCATAGCAGTCTCAATTCCATATCCTGCTCTGAAGCTGGTTTGAAATGGGTCAAGGAAGTGTGTCTCATCCAAGATTGCCTGAAGTTGGAGGGCAACTGATTTCTCAAACACCTTGCCCAAAAAAGGGAGGTTAGACACTGGCCTGTAGTTATTAAGGACAAAGGATATAATACCAATAAAAAGAAACACATTAAAAATAACAATTTTATTCATGTTGTTTTTTTCACTTTCACAGGAATCTTGTGCCTCTAAAGCCAGCGAAAGCGGAAGCTGACTAATCATATACTTGATAAGGTAGCTAAGTGTTCATTGTAAACCATCCATATACAAAAGAACGTGCTACAGAAATTTCAAAATTACCATTTAAACCGGGGGTTGCTGCATAAATCCTATTCAAAAGCGCACATATAGTCATATGTGCTATTCTTGATTCAGTCAGAAGTAAGAGATAGTTATAATCCAAATTCTTTTATTTTAATTAATGAACATAGATTTTACAGCAGTTACGAATCTGACAATTAGAGTGAAATAGTTCAACAGAAAATACTACTGTTTTAAGTTCATCCACAGAATGAATTTCTAGGGTATACCTGTTTTATCTGTCAGTAGATACACCAGACGCCCCAGTTCTTCAGGTATTGTGCTAGTTCGGACAACAGTTCCGGGTATATTGTCATCTTTCATAATCATCCATCCGTAGGCGGCTTTACCCATATCTAAATTCACTCGTAAACTGTAAAGAATGCATTAAAATATAACTATATAATAACCCCTTGACTTCAACAATACAACTCTTGAATAACATAAAGAAGTAAGCAACAAATAACCTTACAGCTCAAATAAGCAACACATTAACAGAGCTGCATTCTTTTCTATTTTCCATTACATTCTTGTACTGCACTTTCAGTTTTCAGATTGCTTCCAAGTCATAGAAGGAAAACACATTCTCTTAGCTACCAAATACTGTACTATGGGGTGCTGGGAAAATGAGAAACTACTGGAAACGCACTATCTTGAAGACAGATGTCAGGATCCTGTGCAACATCTCACAACTGTGCAATTACTGTGCTAAAAAGAAGTTATTTGGAAAGGCCCTAAGATAATGTTATGTTACCCTCTTAGTCACTACCTTGCCAGCTTTGCGGAATGCTCATCTCCTGATGGGCTAATAGTATCCTTTCACTCAATGATTTACTTAGAATAGTTTTGTAGTGTCACGTACAATAACTTCCAGCTGCCTTTAGCCCAAATAAAATTCCATAGCAAAAGCATGATAGAAGAAAAATTGATCGGTTGCAGAAAAAAACTACTGAGGAAGTATAAGAAATTATTTTCCAACAGTGTCTTTGAAAATATAATTGCTTGATATTTGATGGGTAGCACTTTAAGCTCTCATAGATGTTTGATTACCTACAGGCAGTTGCCAACTTCACATGACTTTTACAATCATGTTGTTCAGCTTTCCATCAGCATGCCAATAATGGCTAAATAATCAGAAAGCCTTATACACTTCCTCAAAGCAGTATTTTTCAGATGCTGACACAGAAAAAGCCTGGTGAGAATAAATACGCATGATGCTCTAATTCATATATGGAAGATAATGTCAAAACTGTTACCTAGCAAGATACAAAGAAGCAACTTAGTTTTAAAATGAAATCAGAGCATTCCTAGCCTACTTGTTTCTTTATACAGTAAACTCATTACCAGCAGATTTCCAAGCAGCTCGTAAAAGAGATGTAGTATTAGAAATAAAGTACAAAACTCTAAACACAATCAAAATCTAAAATTCAGTCTCAACATACATTACCAAGACACAGAACTGAACTTTAAAGGTTTTGATAAACTGCATGCCTGACCCCTAAGTGGGCACAATGATCTTCTCCCTCAGCCCATAGCAGCACATTTTCAGCTGAAAACACAACTCTGAAATGGACTAGAATTCGAATTCCAGTGGTACTTTGAATTTTCAGAGAATCATAGCGGTAGAAGAGATCTTATGGGTTCTCAAGTTCAACTGCCTGCTCAGCGCAGGATCTCCTACAAAATCATCCCCACCGGGCATGAGCTGTCCTGACTCTTTGGAGATGTTCAGAGAATGAGACACCTTTCCAGGCACTGCCAAACCACTCCTGTTGTCAAGAAGTCCTTCCTGTACCTTGAAACCACTAGATCTGATCCTACCCCTGTGGCATCAGAGAACAAACCTGCCCTATCACCTCTGTGATCACTCTCACGATATTTAAAAATTGCAATTATACGTTCCTCAAGCTGAACAAGTCCAGCTCCTTCAACTTTTCATAATGTTTTGCTCTCCATACCTCATATTATTCTTGTTTCACTTCTCTGAACCTACTCTTTGCTTGTCTATATCCCTTTTAAAATGAGACACCTCAGAACTCATGACAGTATTCCAAATGAGAGCTCACCAGAGCAGTATGTAGTGAAACTATTTGAATTAGAACAATATGCTTCTACTAATGCAGGCTAAGATAGCATTTGCTTTCCTTCCTGCAACATCACATGGCTAGCTCATATTCAACTTTTTTTAGTAGAGGATTTTCAGAAAGGCATAAAAAAGACAAATTGCCCACGTTGTGTTATTTGGAGATGTCTGACTATTTTAGTATGTGTGTGAACAAATGTTCAAATATTTTAGCAATGTCTGGTGGATTTGGAGGCCATACAAAAGAGGATGGTAGGATGCAAGTGGTTGTTGTGCTGTACTTTCCCCATTCAATGTAGCCACTAGCCACTAGTTCATGAGATTTGAGGTTCTCCACCCAAACAATTTCCAAGAATTCCAAATTCTAACCACAGGAAATGTTAGCTGTATTTCAGAATCTGAGAAATTTTAACTTTATAGAAGGAGTTTCATAAAATTTAAAGCTATAATTTTCTTCTGTTAGTCTGTTAAAACCTTTTTAAAAGAAAAAAACCCCAAAAGTCTGGATATGTCCAGCAAAAATCCAGCAAAGCTATTCGCAGAAGGAAAAACGCATACATACACATATTTCTCATGCGCAGTAATTCTTTTGCAATGAATAGCAAAATGAAGCTAGCTAATTCACAGAAACCTAAACAAACTTCAAACAGTTATGATAATAGCAAGACATATCTTTACATAGACATTTATTAATTAATACTCATGTCTTCCTTTGTGAAAGTGAGTTAAGAGTGAATTAGTGGGGTTTTTTTTAAATCAAGGACTCATTCTGGAATAGAATGGAGCCTTTTGTCCAATTCATCTTGAATTCTAATCAACTGAAACAAAAAAATTATTCTGTACATCACTCTTCATGCTATATGGGTGTGGTACGAGGAACACCCATTCTATCAACCTCAGGAAAGTTCACTAAAGTGAGAGAGAATCCTTGAATGTTAATCTTATTTCCATTTGATGATGCCATAACTGTTCCACTCTTTTTTCTTTAGATAAATGCTGTTAACCTTTTAACAGAAACAGCTACATAAAAGGTTACACAGATCATTATGAAGACTGCAAACCAGGATTCTAACGTGATACACACAAAACTAAAAGTTCCTACTCCAATATTGCTGGAGGCTTTTTATACAAGTTGCTGAGAAAGTATATCAAGTTCCTCTCAAATGGCAGCATTTAACGGCTACATGGAAAATTTAGACAGTGCAGTCTTTTACTTAAATTTCATCAAAAACCTTAAACTAAGCTTTAGACCCAATGAACAGCATTTAGCATACATGCATAATCCTAAAATGGAAAGGAAGGACTGCCAATGCAGGATGACAGATAATGCTAATATATTTTTCCTCTATTTCTTGACTTAACAAATTCAGACACTTAAAATGCTATCTTAGCTGTGAAGCATCTCAAATCAATCTCATTAAAACAACCATCATAGTCTGTCAGCAAGTTTACAAGTTCAATAATTTGTTAACGGTATTAGATTGTTCATATGGAACTAGACGTGTATGGAACAAAATCACCAGACTACTCTAAAGAGTAGTTCCACTTGGGAACCACCACCCTTTGACAACCTGCAAAAGTATCTCTTATATGGCAACTGCATGCTGAGTTTAAGGATGGGTTCATTCCATTGCTTTATGATGGTCACAAGAAGTTTGGGAGCAATGAAATTTCATTGATGCTTTGATAGAGCCTTGTTCCAATAGTGGCAAGCTTTTGCTCAATTGTAATCCCACCAGTCTGGATCATAGGATGATGAGGAACTTTTTTGAAGATAATATTGTGAGTCTGATGATCTCAAACTTGAGCTCTTGCTAGCTACGATGCCTGTAAGAACATCCATCATGGTTTTGACCACAATGGGATAAATGCGATTTCTCAGAATGATCTCTTGAACTAAAGCATGGGGAAGAACCAGAAGATCTGGATTGAGATAGTATCAGATGCCGGTGCAAAGATTTATGTGGAAGTGACGTTGTAGCCAACACAGTTGAAGCTGAAGGCCAAACAGGAGGGACTGATATGGACACTTGAACCAAAAGTGAAGAATCCAGGATCAGATACATTCCTGGTGACACGTTGAGCAGGTGAGGAAATTTCAACAGAATCAGGGAAACGGCAAGTGTCTCCAGAGTCAGAACTGAAAGAAGACTCTCAACCACTAGAGATGTGGTCACGGCAGGCAGAGGAACAGGCCCATGCACTAAGGGGATTTGCCCTTGGCTTGCTTTTTCTTCTTTTGCTTATGATGTTGGAGAGTGGATTTCATCTTCACTTCTGAAAGCTGACCCAGAGTTGGGGAACAGTTAAGCAACACCAATACCTTGAGTGGTTTGGACAGAAGATGAATCTGCAAAGGATGCTTTGTAACAGGATGGGATGAGCCCAAAGCTGAAGTGGAGGAAGCTTTCAATGTCGAGATCTTCTCTTCTCTTAGTTCTATACTAAATGAAGGTAGCTTTTCAGGCTTTCGCATTCAAGACTGCTTTCAAGCACAACTCTCTTTTTCATTTGAAGTGTAAAAGCTTGATAGTGGTCACAAGAGACCACCACATGAGCTTCTCTGAGACAACAAAGACACTCTGCAATCTTAGCCACAAATGATGCATTTCTTGAATGGACTTGGATGCTGTAGTTGAGACAGATCCAATGGATGTCATATTGGCCCTTGGCTTTCCTATATTACTGGGAAAGTTTAATTCTGTGCAATCTGAAAATGTAGGCAGGTTCCTTGGAAAAGTGAGAGCCATCATATGTATAGCGGATCCTTGCCCTTCCTGACTCTTTACAGTAGCTATAGAGGGATAAGTCAAGGGGATAAGGGAAATGGTGAATGCAACTTCCTATGTTATCTTAAAGAGACCATGGGATGACTGTTACTAAACACGTTTTCCTGGGTCCCACTGTTCTGAATAATTATTGGCCGATCTCTAATAGTCCATTTTTGGCAAGGTTCTGGATCATCTGGTGGCCAACCAGCTCCAAGGTTTCTGGATGAAAAAAAGGATTATCTAGAGATATTTCAATCTGGCTTCAGGTCTTGTTATGGGGACTGCTTCGGTTGCCTTGGTAGATGACCAATGCAGGTAACTTGACAGGAAGAATGTTTCCAATTAGATCCCCTAAGCCTCTCAGCCTTCTGGGCAGACTCTATGGGTTGGGATTTCAGGGCACTATTATGTAGTGGTTTCAGTCTTCCTTGGAAGGGTGAACTTAGAAAGTGGTGATGGGGGAAAACTCCTGTTCAGTGTTTTGGGTGTTGGGTCTGTGGAATTCCCCAGGGTTCAGTTTTGTCCTCTATGCTGTTTAACATCTTTATGCAACCACTGATAGAAATCATTGGAGTTGTGGGGTGTGGTATCACCAGTATACTGATTACACCCTACTTTGGCCTTTCCATTTGATTCCAAGGTAGTTGTCTCCACACTGAACCTGTTGCCAGTAACAGACTTGATGAAAGCAAAACATTGAAACTTAATCCAGGTAAGACAGAGGTACTTCTGAGTAGTCTCAAGACAGATCAAGAAATAGGGGTTCTGCCGATGGTAGATGGGGTGACACTTCCTCTGAAATTTCAGGCCTGCAGCTTGGATACTTATTTTCAGTGGTGGTCAGGAGTACATTTTCACAGCTAAACCTTCCATGTTGAAATAGTTTCATGAGTTACCTGTTTGTTTCCAGGAACAATTCAAAGTGCTGGTCATGAAATATCTTTATAGCTTAGCTCCAAGTGTATCTGGAAAAGTGTATCTCCCCATAAAAAACCTGCCGCTCTCACCTTCTGGGATGCCATTCCATGGGAGGTGAGTCTGGCCTCCTTCGTCCTTTCCTTTAGCCAGCAAAGTCGCTTTTGTTAAACAGGCTTTTAATCTATACCACTGAACAAGCTGGCTAGGGCTTCTGGGAATTGGAAGCCCAAACACCTGGAGATTCGTATCAGCAATGCGAATATTTCAGAAAATGTTTTTACAATGATTGTTAGACTCAGTAGGTTCTATGGCACTTTCTCCTGCTTCTACTTCCTGACAATACCAACTCCCTTCACAGTAACAACTGAAGGTGAATAAAAACAGTAAAATTATTCATGTACTTTTTTTCCTCATTCTTACACCTACCTGATGGGGATTATGTATGAAAAAAGAAGGAGAAATCGAAAGAGATTGCGGTACCATGGCCCTACAAATCCTTGCAAGGTGACCATTACAACTGAAAGTGCAACTAGAGCCAAGAATAGTGCTTTGGTTAGTTGATTCAGCTCAAGGTCCAGCAAGCCAACCTAAGAAAGCAAATGAAATAAAATAATTAATAAATATGACCGAAGAGATGCTTTGCGTTTTCATCTTTGTGTACAATATAACATTATATACGCTTTTAAAAAGAGAATTTTACTTTCCCAAATAAACCTAAAATTTACAAACAGGGCCCACCTTGTCCAAATGACCTTAAGTCTGAGTGAGCATGGCACTGCAAATGGCACTTATGTTTCTGGTACATAGTTGATGACCAGCTTATCAGAAAAAAAAACTGTTTTCAGAATAATCCATTCATGACTAGGATTTTCAAACTTTCAATTATTGACATAGGACTTTCTTGGGGATTTGCCAACATATCAGTTTTATCCAAGAAATTCCATACAACTCTGTTTATGTATCACCAAATGCATAAAGAATGAATGTGTGTTTTCTAATATGTTTAGCAGTTGTCTTGTTCTTTGCTTATGGGCATGCGTAAGTTCATCATTCTACATCCAGAATTAATGCCATTTGGCACCACATTAACTGTAATCTCTCAACAGACTTGTAGATTACAAGGTTTTTAGCGTTCTGTGCTAAAGAGTTCTGATGCCTCATCAAACGACAGCTTCCAGGATCCCATAGCATTGAGCCATGATAATGATATCAAACTGCACTCATCGCACAGTGTAGATGTACTCTGTATTCTTTATGCATGGATCTACAGGTATAGTCTTCACAGAACTGCTTACTCAGTAATGTAACTTGGGAAATTTACTCTGAAAGTGAACGGGCTTTTATAAACAATGCTTGACAGGACTTTTATTAAGAGTAAACAGGCAATTCTGTTGAATGCACATAATTTTGCTGAATACAGACCACCATAAACTTTTAATAAGCAGATGACCTTTAATAAAGCGATCCTCTTTAAAGAATCCTTTATAACAAAACATTTAGCTTTAACTAAATTTTATTTAGGTTATTCTCACTAGAACCATGAAAATGTGTCATCAGTGCAAAATGAGCAGCAGAAAATGTTGAGAAAACAAAACTGGTTTTATTTCAGATTATGTGCACAATGTGATGTTTGAAAGGCAATAGTCTGCATAATATAAACCTAGGACCTGTGCTAGGAATAGCTCAATTCTAAAACTTGTCCTACAACTCAAGAAATTGCATTGAATTCCTTGCACCTTTATCATTCTCAAAATGAAAACAATAAATAAATTCATAAGTCATAGGAAACTGAATACCTAATTTTGCATTTCAAGAAGGTTAAGCCCACAATCATATTACAGAAATTATGAACATACAAGCAAGTATTTTAGCCAGTCTAGGTTTTGTCTGTATTTATGCAGCTCTCCTGTTTAAAAAGTGCAGGTTTCCCCAGCCAGAGGTATCCTATGAGTTAGTCCCAGCACACAGTTTTCTAGGGCTGAACTTCCTAGCCTCCGCTTCAGCTTCTCCTATCATATCCAAGGCATGCAATACGAAACAATAGATACGTCCCAAACACAGGAAAGCTGTTTGTAGTTGTCACTCTCATTAATGGTCCAGACAATAAAATTCATTAAATGTGAATTCTTGAACTTTATACTGATTTTCTCCCCTAGGCATATTATTAAAGCAAATCATAGCTAAAAGTGTTTGATTAAGAACATATTGGCCTGGACCCATGCTAAGGTACGCTGAGATGTCAGCAAAATCAATGAGACGTTAGTTAGAAGCCAGTTCCCACTGAAACGATTGAAACTAAAGTTTAACTAACTTTAATTGAATTAACTCACTGAATTTAGGAAGAGTACAAAAGCTGGGAGGAAAAAATCCAATGATCTTCTACTTGTTGTTCAAATGCTTCTGTTATAAAATCAAGGACTGCTATTTGTGCAAAACACTTCAGTCTGGTATAATATTATAATAAAAATAAACTATTGTATTAGAAGGCTAGGCAAGACAATGATCTCACAGGAAAACATCCCAGATCAGAGCTTCCGTCAGAGAGAGATCTAACATAAAAATTCCAAGGGAGACACCATTGATCAACGAACAATATTTAGAATACTTCTGGAAAACTCGAGCATTTTTGCTCACGTAGGGGCTGCCCCTTCCCTTGAGAACTCGGCAGCTGAAGACCACAGTGGCTGATTTATCAGCTACATTTAAAAAGCAGCACAACGAGGACAAATATCTTGCAATTTCCGCTGCTTCAACTACTACATAGTTTATGCTTGAATTATTGAGAAAAATAGGTTTCTGGATTAAAATGAAGAAAAATTAAGCCAGGGAAGTAGAGCATGTTTCAAAGCCCAGATCCTTTTGCATTGACAAAGGCGGTCTAAGTTTCAGGCCTCGCTGAGGATCAGATGAAGTCATTATTCATTCAGTCAGGGAAAAAAGACTCAATTACCTCAACCTAAAGATGCTATCAATGAATGCAAAGTGCATATTTTACTCTATTCATCCAAATCCCATTAAAAAGTGAAAGGAATGATTTAATCTGGCCTTCTAGAGTTGGTCTTTTTTTTTGGTAATAAAATAAAGAATCACTGTCTTGCAATATGCATAACCGGCACCTCGCACTTTTCTTGCTGCATCATAGCAATGAAAGACTGTAAAAGCCAAGACAAAACCTGACAGAAATGAATACAACGTTTCCTTTGAGAAATGGCCCCAAACATTATACATAGCCCACTGGATACACGTATGTAGATAGCTAACAGGATAAAAAATTTCCCTAATCGAGGGGGACAAATGTGGATCGAAGTGCGGAGTTTATTCTATACCTTTAAACAACTTTTTAAAAAGTGTAAAAAGTTGTAACCTCCTGTGAATGTGTTCTTCTGGCTAAAGTAACTGGCTGTGAAAATAGCGTGGCTCTTTTAAGCATATATTGATCATGTCAAGTACAATAAAACATCATATCAAAAATCATAAATAAAACAAATCTATTAAGTTTGAAACTTGCTATTTAACTGCATTTCTGTTACTGTCTTTTTTACCATGAAGGAATTAATCCTTGAAAGGTTATCAAAATGTGTTTAAAATTAACATAAAACAAATAAACTGCTTCATTAGAAAAAGAAGTTGATTTAATTAAAGCCAAGGATTTTAAACATTTCTTGCCATTTTCAATACCTGTAGATTTCCCCCCTCTGATCACAATGTTTGTTTTGTTCGTAACCACTGTGATGACAGAATCAGATATGCCACTAGAAATTTTGATCTTTCCGGGAAAATTTGTACATAATGCCAAAGACAACCACAATACTTTTTATAAGGGGGCTGTTCTAGGATAATGAACACAATAATTGCCTGTATAATCTAAAATGCTACTAATGGCAACAATCACATATCCATTTAGTTCCTCTTTAATTTATGTAGCAAGTTTTAACTAGCTAATCACTCTTAGTAAAATAATGGTTTATACTAACAATAAAGGATAAGGATGGCATTGTCCTGCTTAAATGAGAAAATATCACTTTTCTCTTTGCTTAATTTTCAAAACACTGCATTAGTAAGTGCCCCACTCTCTGAAATACAGTACCTCTGTGATAAGGACACGAAGAAATAATAAAGTAAGGGGGGGTGTTTTATAAATAATGAAGGAGAAATGAAGAATAAAAAACCTTTCAAAAATATGCTGCTACATGATAGCACTCTTTAAAAAACTTTAGCGGCTAATTAAACAAAACAATTGTTAAGGTCATTAAGCATACTTTAATAAATAATTCTAATAAGGTCTGCTCTTATACCAGAATCCATTTCTAGAAACATTTTCCCCTAATTAAAATGTGATTCTCACACTGCAATGTCAACAGGACCTTAAAGGGTGCTGTTGAGAAATCTAATCCACAAAGTATCAGTAGGTTATCGGAAAGTTTGATTCATTCTTCTCTAACATAAGAATCCAAAGAAGAATTTGCCAATTTATCAGAGTGTTCTCTCACATACAATTCTGTCTAATATTGTTCAATGATCAGAACCACTGCAGTATTTGAGGACAGCCTGATAATTAAAACTGAATTACTCACAACTGATGCATATGAATGCTTTTTTGGTTAAAGTTAATAATCAACAGTAGCAAACATGCAGAGTCTAACAAACAAATGATTAAAGGTTTTAAGCACTGGCTTCTATTTTCCTTTAATCCTTTCCCCAATGATTCATTTGACACACTAAATTGTCATTGGATGTACAGCATCATGTAAGAATTAAGAAAAATGCTAACAAGTGTAATGTATGGCACTAGAAAACAGTTGTAACTGAAAACAGAATACTTTTGCATTCTGCTAATAGAAAAACAACTGATGGCAGCAAAATCTTTTAAAAATAGGATATTATCTTTCTTCACATAAAATAAAACATAAGACATTGTTACTGCACAACACATATAAAACTGTTCCCCCCCCCCCAACTATAATGCAATTTTACCAGTTTAACATGTTTAAAAAAGTCCCTTCAAATTACGTTTCAGGATTGATATAATAACTCTCTTGCAAAATAAATACCTCTACTGAACTACCTGCAGAATGTACAGAATCCTAACACTAAGACTATAACTCTAGTTAACAAAACGAATGCCAGCTATTCGTTTAAGCATCTTTTCTGTTTAACTCTTCTCACTTCATGCTTGGTTGGTACAAAACAACATGCAAATTTATGCACAACAAGCCATATACAGTCCAAAAGCACTTTCTGCCTTTAGTGAAAAATTACAAAAGCAAAAGACCTAAAATAAGAATTTCATGGGGGAAAAATCATTGTATTTAGCCCATGAACTCACAATTATTTAATTGCAAGGGGAAGCAATAAATTAACACGAAGATATTTCCAGAATAGTAAGATTCTGTTTCAAGCATTTGATCAGGTTTGATAGAAAATGTTGTTTTTTTAATATTTCCAAATTTTAAGAAGATAAAACATTTGGCTAGCAAATCAAATCTGGGCACTGAGAAACAAAATAGGGCATTAGACTCTGGCTGTTCAAATTTTCATTCTTAACAAATTTTCATTCCCTTACACAACAATGACATTTTGGTGACAA